GAAACCCCAGCCGGTCGTAGCAAAGGACGAGGGATCAGTCGACCACTCTTCCTTCCCCCTCTCACCATAGCATCGACTAAATGGAGTGGCATGTTTGAAAATAAGCTGTCAGGCCCCTACATGTCCTACCTAAACGCAGTCAGGCAAGTTTGGCACGTGTACCGGAAGGCGGTCTCTCGAACCTCATCTTACTTGCTGGAAGAGTTCTTGGAAACCAAGGTCATATAGGATCATTGGATGTGCGCACAATCTTGGTGACGTGAGCAAAACGTTGGTGCAGTGCGTTTGTGACCATATTTGGGCATCGTTCAGACTGTGCCCCTTCCACGTGCATTGTGTGGTGTCTTTCCCCGCCTTCCTGAATGAAGCACCTACACCATCGAGCGCCAAATTGGCTGAAGCCACGGACAATGTGCACAGGGTTGGCAACGCAACGCTATATAAGCGGAAGACACTTAGTATATTTTAAGTGCTAGAGTTCTTGAGTTCTAGTTCCTGTTCAGTTCTGCAGCGAGCTCATAGTTACTTGATCACTTGATCATCTCCTTTCAAATTTTTAGTCAATAACCATGTAAATAAATTGTTGTCGTTCTTACGAGCGCCTCATCAGACTTGTTCAAGAATGGTTCCTACCTACAATGGGGGTCCGCTAGCAAAACTGAGACCCGCAGGACTCCGAGTCGCAACAACAGGTAGTAACCGCAGAGCCGAATCATGAGAGTAAAATAATAAAAAATAAAGAATAAAATAATAAAGAATAAAATAATAAATAATAAAAAAAATAAAGAATAGGATGGGGTGGATGCCATTCGGCAAGCATTCTCAAATCTTGAGTGGTAATCTGCCACCAACCCTCAAAAGTAAGGTATGTAACAGCTGCATCTTGTCGGTACTTACCTACGGAGCAGAAACATGGAGGCTTACAATGAGGATTCAGCTTAAATTGAGGACGACAGAGCAAGCGATGGAAAGTGATAAGTGTAACCTTAAGACACAAGAAAAGAGCAGTGTGAGTCACCAAACAAACAGGGGTTGGCGTCTCTCATAGTCATATAAGTGGTTTTGAAACGTTAAACACCACATATCAATCGAATAAACAGGGGTTGAGGATATCATAGTTTAAATCTAGAAGAAATGGACATGGGCCAGGCAGGATAACCGCTGGTTATTAAGGGTAACTGACTGAATCCCCAGAGAAGGCAGTTAGGTTGGCAGATAAGATTAAAAAGTTCACAAGTATAACATGGCAACAAAAGGCACAAGACAGGATTAATTGGTGGATCATGGGAGAGGCCTTTGCCCTGCAATGGGGGTAGTTACGTTGATGGTGACCTCTAGTTTATGAGTTGCTCCATAAATGGCATTGTGTGCATATGTCATTGGGAATAATATAACTAGATGGTGTTAGTGGTTATCGCTGAGTGAGTGAGCAGAAGCGTCCGTCCATCTATCTATCTACTTGTGCTTCCGTCCGTTCGTCTGTGCTTCTATCCATCCATGCTTCGATTTGTCGTGGCTTCCATCCGTCCATCCGTGCTACTGTCTGTCCGGACGTTTCGCCCCGCTCATAATTCACTCCGTGGATATGCTGTGATTGTTTTTCTGTTTTCTTTTTGTGATAGTTTTACTGTTTTTTGAAAAAGTAAACTGGTTGGAAGGAGATGTATGCAGAAAAAAAGAAAGAAAGAAAGGAGCAACGATACTTCTCTTTAGAACGTACGAGTAGATTATACTAACGATGCCTGCTGGTGTACTAATGAACAACAGTATAATCTCCCGGCCTTAGCATCTACACCCTTAAAGTATATGCTTGAGCAGACATTCACAGGTGCCTAGTCATTGACATAATTGAAGAAAATACGCTTTACCAGGTTCTGTACACTTTTATCTACACACACGCACACACGCATCCGTGCCTTGTCTCGTCTTAGCCCACCCGACAGCTCGCTATGAATATTAGCGTGTCGTCCAAAAAAATTCTTTCCCAATCCTCATCTCGGAAGCATGCAGTTTTTTTTCTTTTATGCATGGTGACCTTCCCGTCCTGTCGGTTATGGGGTGCCACAAGGAGATCAACAAGAAGCATCGTATAGAAGATAGGTGAAGCCACCGTGGAGGGGGCGGATAATCTTCACTTTGCCGGTTTCCACACGTGCCTGAAGGAAAGTTGTGTTCAGTGAGCCAGCGCGTCCTGCATTTTTTTCAGTGCCTAGACGAACAGACGAGCGCGTGCTTCGCCTCCGCTTGCCTCTGCAGCATGGCAGTGCTGCACGAGTGGACTATGAGAAGCTGGTGCTGAGCGGCCTTGCGTAATAGCAAGCTCGTGTGTTCGTGTTTTCATGTGAGTTAATCTGCATTCGTGCTTCTCGCCAGCTTTCGCAGGCACAGGGGGGATGAAAAGTAACAGGAACATAGCGGCGCAGCTAATTTCACTGGGCTCTGACCATGGTTGTGACAAAAAGATGATATATATGTGGGATTTAACGTCCTAAAACGACCCGCAAAAAGATGATATATGGTCTTTCTCACATGTATAACTCTGTATTTTTATCAATCATTAGGCTATAACCGCTTAGGAATAATGGGAAACAGAAAAGGGGATAGATACAGCATGTCCACGTTTCTTTCTATGCTCACTGGACGTATTCCTCAAGCCGTCTGTCAGTCGCCGTGCTACCGGTTCCATATTTACATTGGAGTTTTACAGCATTCGCGTTTCATTTTTTCTTTCAAGCTTTCATAACCTCATCATTTCCATGCCTATAATGGTGCTATGTATCACTCTGCATATCTGATGGAAAGAAATTAGGTTGTCCTTCTTTTGTTTCTCATTAATGATAAAGAAAAAACAACTCACAGGTTTTCTTGTGGATACACCTGTGACGACTGAACGGCAAGAACCATCTTCGTTTTCTTCCCATTCAGTGCATTAAATGTTTCTCACTTCCCTCCAGTATGTTTCTGCACCAAGTGTGGTTTTCTTACTGCTTCAAGGATTGGAGACAAAGCTATAGCTTTCTGCCTCCTATCTGGTTATGCACTGCCCTTATAATCGGCCAATTTTAACCACGCAAAAATGTAATATGATGTCACGTTATGTGACCTTTCGATACTTTGCAAAATTTTATGATCTGTGACGTCATATGATAACTTCTTAGCGTAATGATGATTTCTTTCATAACTCATGTTGCCGTCGCCGACGTGAGAAGACGCCATATGCCGCCGGTGATTAATTTTCACTTTTGACGAGGCATTTCAGGTTTTTGACTTAGTACACTGTATGGTTGTAGTTCTGCAAAATTGCAGCTGCCGTTGGTATTCAGGAAAAGGTGCGTGCAGTAGTCGAGAAATATAATTGGTCTCTTATTAAATCTTCGTACTGCACTTGAATGTTTAGCCGTCATTCACAACCCGAATATTTTCTAACAGAAGTATACATACCGCCGCGTTGTCTCTATAGTGCAAATGAATGGCGTGGTGTATTCACATTGTTTAAAGTATAATGGTAACTTGGAAACGAGAATGTTGAAGTGCTCGTTGTTCTTGACATCTGGCTCATTTCAAAAGCATATGTCGTTCTCGACTACTTGATCGAGGTGCTCGTGCATTGTCTGCTAGGTGAATATGAGATAGCTCATGCCAGTAATCCACGGAATATCGTTTTGTCACCATAACGTTACACTTGACTGGGAGCTGCTTTTATGACTCACTGAAAGTCTATTTTTGATAGAAGCTTTTCTAGGAGCTAATACTAAAAGCTTGGACCCTAATGTTCCCTGATGCTTGCTGCTCGCTAGTGGTGTACCACATCATACGCACGCCTAGCTTTAATGTGCTAAATAGCACAGAATGCCAATAGACCACTTCCAGTGATATAGGTGATCATCCATTCCCATTGCAAATTTCTTTATGATTACATGTGTTGCCACCGAGAGAAAGCAAGTGCCAAAAAAGGAAGAACCATGTCAGGTGATTTTTCACCATTTGAGAGCGGAAACAATGAAGCTGTGGTGAAACAAACTAAATAGCTCCATAAGTGGTGCGATGCCTGCAATCGTGGCCTATGTTTTGAACAGGCACTGTTGAAGTCTAAAGTCTAATGCCGACTCTCAACCTGAGACAGGTGTGAAAAATGCGTCTTGTCAGTTGCTTGAGGTCGTCGTGTATTCGTGGACGGATTGTCAGTAGCCTTAATATCCGGCTGCTCAACTCTGTTTCTTTCATCTTCCCTCTGGCCTCTTAACTCGCTTAACTCGGTAGCGAACAAAGTAGAGATCGAATGGCTGTCAACCCGGACGCTTTTATCGCATGCGACACCTTGTCTAGCATTAAATGTGTGCATTCATTACGACACAGTACATGATAATTGTCGCTTGTTTCGCCAATACCACATGTGGTTCCCATGGGATCCCATTCAGCTTAGAAGCATAATGTTAAGTTGCACATGGCAGTGATCGCGAGGCAGCATTGCTACTGATAGACTCATTTGTTGACTGTTCAAACGCAGCGCAGTCCCGTCTATAGTGATACCTATTGCCATGCTTGCAAACATGAAGGGTATTCTTGAGCCCCCGAACACCAGCAGCATCTGCAATGTCACGGAACGACAGTCGTACAGTGTACTAAGGTGATGGCCTTAAATTCCTCATCAAAAGCGAAAAATCATCACTGGCGTCGTCAAACGTCTACACGAGTGATGCAAAAAATCATCATTACATAAAGACGTCGTCATATGATGCCACAGATCATAAACATTGTCACATATTGGAAGGTCACTTGACTTGATGGCATCATATTACATCTTCGCAGGCTATTCACTTCTTGTCTTGAATACCCGCAGATATAAAACTTGAGTCTAATCTCGCTCTCTTCATACCCGCAGTTGCACAACTCTTCCCTTCAGTAGTCATGCGCTCGTCATAAATGCTGATGGATCGCCTCAGTGCACATGCCTGCTTTCTCAATCAGACTGCATGTGTGTGTCTCTTTTTGCTCTGCAGATGCTCAGCGTGCGTGACGAGCGCTTTCACCTACAATTGGTGCTTCAGCGAGAATACCTGCATGTACAAAGCCAGCTCGTGCTCCAAAAACGTCTTCAGCAGAGGAAACGTGAGTGCACACACACAACGCTCTTCTTCATTAACCCAGTTGTTGTCGTCACGGTGTGGGGCCATCTAAAATAACTGCTGTGGTCACTTTCTCGCTTGTGGCTTTTGCTTGACAAGTTCGGCAGGCAGGGCACATGCACCGAAGAGACAGGCTGCGCATCCGCCGCACCAGAGGTAGTCACTTGGTTGCTCCGGGTGATGAATGCTGCTCTAGATTGATTGCCAGTGGTTAGGTGAAAAAAAAAATGACGGCCGCTGTCTGAAATGTGTATGGTGCTAATTTAACCATAGCAACCACGCAGACACGTTTGGTTGCGATGTGAAGCAACAAGAGGATGGATTCATTGCTTGCGCAATATTTATAGCACCCCTGCATCGACAAAAAAAGTGGCGCCGCTGAGTATACGTATGGTCCTGAATCGTATGCAATACGTTTTTAGCTGTAACTACCACGTACAGCATTCAGTAGAGCTGTCGCTGCTGCATCCTTCAGTTAGGCTTGATAGTGGGCGCTGATCAACTGACAAAGACTGATGACTCAGCTCGTCTTATTGAATTATGTCTTTCGTGGCATCGCAGTCATTTTCCCCTGGCCTTTCGACATGCACTCAATCACATTCACAACAAGGGACGAAAGGGTAACGTGTTTGTGAGGCTCAGGCGGTCTGATCGCGCGTACAGATTAAGGTGCCTGAGTGCTATCTCAGAAAAGTGCCAAAGCCACATGCCTGTTTTTCATTTTGCGCATTCTGGTCGGCAAGCTCCTCCATATGCATTGCCACAAACCCTGGCACTGCTAGGATGTGGGGGCTCGAGTGCAGTGGGGTGGTCAGCACGTTAGGAATTTACCCCCCCCTATCTTCAACAGCATCCAACTCTCTCCTATGCCCTCTTACTCAGGCCTCTCTCTACTCTCTTTATTGTGATATAATCATTTGTACCAGTTGGCACATCTCCATAGAAAGCAAGATACAGTGCAAACTGGACATAGATGGGTAGAGTTCATCTCTGTGCTGTGGTTCGCGCTATTTCTGGTTTTCTGCCCCCCCCCCCCCCCTAATGATTCACTACTCCAGATAAACTCATAGTGCCTTTGAGAGAGGACGGCTGTGTATAACCCAAAACACCTTCTGTTTTAAACTTGTGACCCACCTCTGGCCTCGTTACCTTGACTAAATGAGGAGGAAGGAAGACACAAGTGCAAGGACAGGGAGGTAGCCAGTTCTTATACCCGAACTTTTACTAAAGCTACTCATTGTCACATACATGGTACAAGAATGTCGAGTCTCGTCATGTACCATTGCTTCTTGTGCGATACGCGTAATTCCAGGGAACGATTCAGCCATCTCTCTGTCTGCCTGTCCCTACCCAACAGAGTCCGCAGAACTCACTGATGTATGGACGCCAGCACTGCCTGAGTTTCGACGCCGACTCGTTCTTGCTGCTGGCCAACGGGGGTGCGCACCGAGATGGCTGTCGAGGCACGAAATCTACCCAGCTTTACGGTGAGCGCATGTTTCTCTCTGTAGCCTCGCGTGACACCTCTCTCTGCTACGTGGTCCCTCTATGTGACTGTGACGCCTGTGCTGGGAAGGTTATAACGCCTTTTTGCTGGTTGTCCCCTTTCACAGGACAAATTCCACTACATGCTGGACATCAAAGGCAGGCGGGAACGGGTGCAGGCGAGGTTTCTCAACAACAAGATTATCTTCTCACAGGCCATAGTAAGCACGGGATTCATTTCTATGGCCTTCAGAAAAATAGTTGCACATTAACCAATATACAGGCAAGGGTACCGAGGTAAAATGATTGCAATGAATTCTGGATGCCAGTAGGACTGGCTTGCTGTACTTTCACCTTGCGATAAGCTTTGTTAAAGCGAAAGCCTTAGCTGCGACATCAAACGTGAAAAGTGACCTTCACCAGCGTCAGCACGAATGATCCAAAAAGATCATCATATGATACGTCAACCCAAGGCGCAATCGTGATGTCACATGACACTGAAATCTGCAATGTCACATCGTCATGACGTGACTTCACATTGTGATGTCATCATACCACCATGGCATCATTGCTCGGTTCATACCAATCCAGGAGGCACGTGAGGTGCACAACGCTTGCAATGCTTGCGATCCCCAGGCACTGCGAAAACCACGGTAGATGCTGAGAGGTTTTGGGAGCGGGGGAATCAACACAGTCAACTGAGAACAAAAAATAAAAATTTCGCCTTCGAGTCATCTTAGGCGAATGCATAAAAAGCCATGCGGTTTTTTTTAACAACCATCTGCGAAAGAAAGTTTGACACTAGTGTCTACGCAAGTAAATCGCAGCGAATGCTGCGCATTGCTTTAGCAAGAAACCTGTTCTGCAAACTACATATTGACGCAAGACAGACGCAGTATTCAAACTACTTGCGCTAGTTCGTGCGCCCCCCCAAGAGACCCAAGAGACCAGCGGCCCGATGATGAGACAAGGAAAGGCCGTGACGACGTGCGCCTCTTCAGCACGGGAATTTGACGAAAATGAAGTGGTGCACCGCTCGAGGGCTTCTCGGAGATTGATTCCTTTTGATGATCGCCTGTTAGAAACGCTGTTACATTTTCCTTTACTTTTTGGGCACAAGTTAGCTCCAATAAACAGTTATTCTTACACCATTTGGGTTGTGCGTAACAATTCTGGTGGAGGAGCCGGGTAATGATTCCAAACCCAGTTGGATTTCGAGGAAGCAGCTCGGAACCACGACCAGTCGAACCAACTGAGCTCTCACGCCAGTTCATCAGCGCTCCAGCCGTCGTCTACGTGGTGAGCCGCCGGAATTTCCCCTGCCACCAGAGCCTAGAGTGTCTCCAGCTGTCTTCAGTGAGAGTACCGAAATGTCGTCTCCAACCGCCGCCGCACACGTAGTTTCGTCTTCAGTTGCTGCCACGCATGTCGTTGTCGATGAGCCATGGACGCCCGACCGTTTTCATGGCGATCCTCATGAAGACGCCGAGGATTGGCTGGAGGGTTTTGAGTGCGTCACCAACTGCAACCAATGGACCAAAGAACGGAAGCTCCGCCGCGTTTATTTCGCATTGCAGGACAGCGCACGAACGTGGTTCGAAGACCATGAAGGTGCCATTCGGTCGTGGGATGACTTCCGACGGGAGCTACTGGCCACATACCTGAGCACAGACCGCAAGGAAAGAGCTGAAGCTGTCTTGCAAGCAAGAAACCAGCGCAACAATGAAAGCGTCGCAATGTATGTGGAAGACATGTGCCAGTTATTTCGCTGGTCTGATCAAAATATGAGCGAGGACAAGAAACTTCGGCACCTGATGCGTGGGGTGAAGCAGGAGATTTTTTCTGGTTTGCTCCAATGCCCCCCGTGGAACGTCGCCGAATTTCGCACCGCAACGGCAGCGGTTGAAAAGACTCTGCAACAGCGAGCGAGGCACTACAATCGAGATGTTAACGTCGCATCTGTAGACGCGGTGTCAGCAGTCTTCGGGAATGGCATCGACGTAATACGAGAGCTCATTCGATCGGTGGTTCGAGAAGAGCTCCAGAAGCTAAACGGCAACCCCTCAACGGTCTCGTCATTAGCGGAAGTTGTTCGGGATGAAGTGAGATGGGCAGTCCGTGAGCAGCAGCCACAAGCACAGCCGGTTCGAAATGCTAAGAGGCGCCCCTGTACCTCCTTTCGTCGACCCTGGACCTTATTTCGCCATAGCAAGCACGCATCTGCCGAAACCTCGATTCACGCCGTCCCCAGCTGAGACGAGAATCCGAAAATCTGATATATGGCGCACTCCTGATCGAATTCCGCTTTGTTGTCACTGCGGTGAAGCTGGTCATCTTTACCGGATGTGGGAGTATGCCGAGCTGGACTTCGGGGTTTTCCCGTAAAGGCTGCTTGTCCAAGGAATGGGGAATGACCTTTTGAAATCGAGGAGTACTTGTCAACGCGTCAAGGTACTCACTCCTCACAGCAGCATCAGTCTCGATTGACAGCGTCACTGAGGTATCGGTCACCAAGTCCGCGCCCATCTTCGAACTCTCCGAGGCGACTTCCACAAAGCCCGCTTCGGGAAAACTAGAATCGGCAACCTGGGGAGGTAAGGCCACTGCTGACGCAAGAAAACAACCTCCAGTGCCGATTTCAAAATGTGATGATGGACACGAGACTACGTGCGGAAACGGTGACGTCGCTTCTGATTTGTCGGTACCTATAGATGGCTACGAAACGAATGCTTTGGTAGACACAGGCGCAGATTATTCCGTCATGAGCAGGGGACTTGCCAGAATGCTGAAAAAAGTGCTGACCCCTTGGATAGGACCGCAAGTGCGAACCGCCGGGGGACACCTCATGGATCCGGCAGGCATGTGTACCTCTAGAGTCGGAATACGGGGCTTCACCTACGTCCAGCGAACTGGGAGCGCGGGGGTAAACACAGACACAAAGCAAAGAGGAGGCACACAGCACACAGCGCTCCCAGTTCGCTGAACCATCATGAATTACCAACAAGCCCACCTTTCCATCCTATTCACCTACGTCGCCAGCTTCATTGTCCTGTCGGAGTGTTCAAGAGATGCAATTATCGGAATGGACTTTTTGCAGGCCAATAGCGCAGTAATAAACTTGCAGGAAACGTGCATCTCGTTCTCGACGAAACACGCCATCGCGACATTCGAGAGTGAAAAACGATTCGATGTGCTCCAGATTGCAGGTGATGATGTAACAGTACCTCCAAGATCCATCATCATTGTCACCGTAAAAAGCAATGTGTACAACGACTATGAAGGAATGGCAGAAAGCAATACTGGGCTATTACTCGTGAAAAGGATCTGTGCAGCAAGAAATATTGTATGACTGCGTCATGGGTGTATGAGTGTCTTCGTGACAAATTTCCGAAATGAGGTGCAACATCTTGTGAAGGGAACTGTTGTTAGTCACTTGCACGACTACGTTCCGATTATGGATTTGAATTCTTCCGAGACTGCACCAATACACCCTGACGGTATAGATTCCATACTCGCATCTATCCACATCGAAGCAGCCCTATCACCGAACCAGAAACAAAAAATCGAGAGCCTTATACGGGAGTACGCCTCGTGTTTTTCCACGTAATCGAAAGTGCAAAGAACATCCATCGCCAAACACCACATCATAATCGATCAATCTGTTAGACCTATTTGCCAGCACCCGTACCTAGAGTCAAAAAAAAAAAGAGAAGTCATCAGAGGCCAAGTTGAAGAAATGCTTAGAGACGACGTGATTCAACCATCTGTCAGCCCATGGGCCTCACCTGTAGTGCTGGTAAAGAAAAAGGACCAGACTTTGTGCTTCTGCGTTGACTATCGAAAATTGAACGTCGTCACAAAGCGGGATGTCTATCCCCTTCCAAGGATCGATGACACCCTTGACAGACTACGAGGATGCGAAATTCTTTTCCTCTCTAGACCTCAAGAGCAGATACTGGCAGATAGAGGTGGATGAACCAGATCGCGAGAAAACTGCTTTCGTCACCCCAGATGGGTTATACGAGTTCAAGGTACTCCCATTTGGCCTGTGTTCCGCACCCGCCACATTTCAACGGATGATGGACACTGTGCTGTTCGGCTTAAAATGGCAGTCCTGCCTTGTTTATCTCGATGACGTCGTGATCTTTTCGGTCACCTTCGATCAGCATGTGAAACTGACTACGGACTGTGCTCGAAGCGATTAGTTCAGCAGGGCTGACGATAAAACCTCAAAAGTGCCATTTTGGTTTTCATGAACTGCTTTTCCTCGGTCATGTGGTTAGCTTTGAAGGCATTCGACATGACCCCGAAAAGACAGCAGCTGTAGAAAAGTTTCCTAGACCGACGGATAAAAGGGCTGTGAGACGATTCTTAGGACTTCGTGCCTATTACAGAAGATTCATCAAAGATTTTTCGAAGATTGCCGAACCACTAACCCGACTGACGAAAGAAGACACCCCTTTCACCTGGACAAGCGAGGATGAAGACGCCTTCAATTAGCTACGACAGCGACTTCTAAACCACATGAAGAAGCCGAAACAGAGATTCACACGGACGCAAGCAATTTGGGACTAGGTGCCGTCCTCGTGCAGCTGCAAAACGGAGAGAAACAAGTGGTCGCTTATGCTAGTCGTACTCTTTCAAGAGCTGAAATAAATTATTCAGCAACGGAAAAAGAATGTGTGGCGGTAATATGGGCCATACAGAAATTCCGACCGTACTTATATGGTAGACCATCACTGGCTGTGCTGGCTCGCAGGCCTAAAGGACCCTTCTGGGCGACTTGCTAGATGGAGCCTCAGGTTGCAAGAATACGACATAACAGTCGTATACAAGTCGGGTCACAAGCACAGCTATGCTGATTGCCTGCCACGCGGGCCAGTGGAATCTGCACCTGTGGAAGATGGAGACGACTATCCGTTTCTTGGAGCCGTCAGCACCGCAGACTTAACTGAATATCAACGATCTGACGCGGAGTTGCTTCAACTGATAAAGCATGGAAGGGCAACCCGTACATGTTACTCAAGTTTTTGTCCGGGGATTGCTTTTTAATCGTTAGAAGGAAGGCTCAATACAAGCAGCACGTTCGATGCTTTCCGCTCTTCCCCGAGAACTGCTAGGTGACACCCAGGGTTGCTTGACCTTCTTCTTGAACTCGCTATCTTTGGAGCTCACATCCGACCCCCCCTAGAAGTCGAAGTCCACTTGGAAAAAAAAAAAC